ATGACTCCTCCCAGCTCCCCCGCCAACTCTGTCACCTGCCTCAGCTCCTGCAAGGAGGATATAAAGGCGTGGATGAGTCAAAACTTCTTGCAGCTTAATGCCTCAAAAACAGAGGCCATCCAAACTGGTACTCCTCATCAACTCCGTTCCTTTCCTCTCACCTCTGTTTCATTCTGTGGTCATACCATTCCCCTGTCTCCCTCTGTTACAAGCCTTGGGGCCAAGCTTGACCCCCACCTCTCCTTTGACAATCATGTCACCTCCATTTGCAAAACGTCCTTCTTTCACCTCCGTAATATTTCCAAACTCCGCCCCTCCCTATCCCTCCCTGCTGCAGAGAAGCTCGTCCACGCCTTTGTCCTTTGTCTATGTCATCGGGATCTCTGGCAGGAGCCTTCAGAAGCTCCAGTACGTACAGAACATTGCTGCCAGGGTCCTGATGAGGGTGAGGAAACACCAGCACATCACTCCCATCCTTCACACTTTACACTGGCTCCCTATTCACGCCCGTATAGAATACAAGATTCTTCTGCACACCCATCACTGTGTGCACGGTGCGGCCCCCACCTATCTCACTGAACTGCTCACACCACACACCTCTTCCCGGACCCGGTCAGGCCAACAGCACCGTCTGGCCCCACCCAGGACACGGCTAAAAACAATGGGCGACAGGGCCTTCAAAGCCGCAGCTCCCCGTCTGTGGAATGCCCTCCCAGACCACCTTAGGGCCCCACAGACAGTGGATTGTTTTAAGAAAGGATTGAAAACTTTACTTTTTAGAAATGCCTACAATTGTTGATTTTGGATTTTTTTAATAGGCTACGTATGCCTTTTAATGTATTGATTTTAATGATTGTCTTTTTACTCTGTTTTTAATGTTTTAATGTCTTTTAAACTGGTTTTAATTTTCCCTTTTTTTTTTTTTAATGTAGCACTTTGAGAATTGAAGTCAAATGTAAAGTGCGTTATAAATAAAATTCATTATTATTATTATTATTATTACCTTTCCTTAGTGTCTGTGTGCAGTAGACCATGGTCATCCCTTTAGCTGTGTGTGATTCACTAAAAA